GGGGACGTCCCCCCGCAAAAAAAAAAAGAGGGAAGAAAACAAAACCCTCTTTCTTTCGGCTCAACATTGACGCAGGTGGAATCGATTCCTATTTGGCTGCCCTCACGCTCTGCAAGCGTGCACTTATTCAATTTTGCTAATGTGTGCGCGCAGCTGGGAAAGGCATTGAGGATGAAAAACAGTTATGTTATGTCATGCGTACATTTGAACCCTCCAGTGTTACCAGTCAGTGAATTTCATAAGGTAAACGCATGAATCTCAACTGTAGGGTGCCTAGCCAAAACCTACTAATGGATCTAACTGTGATACTTAAATCTAAAATTACCAGAACAAAAAAAAAACATATGTGATGTGATATGAATGAGATATCAGCCATTGTGACTGCTGTTAAATGTGAATGCTGGAGACCATTAAATACGATGTGAATATGAGACATTATAGTTATACATACATGACAATAAAATGATGCAAATATCGTATCTTGGATCATTAAATATAAGAAGGCCATAAAATATGATGTCAAACATCATAAATTAGATGGCTAGAGGCCTTTAGACCAGTGTTTTTCAAACCCTGTGCCGCGGCACACTAGTGCTATTGGTGGTCCGATCCTCAGCTACAGAAGCTAGCTCTTCTAGGGACATGGAATGTCACCTCTCTTGCAATGACAGTGAGACCTGGAAGTGCATGTTTGGGAGGAACGGCCCCCCGCTGAACAGAACTTAAGTGGTGTTTTGTTTTTGGAGTTCTGTGCTGGTCACAGATTGTCCATAATCAACACCATGTTCAAACATAAGGGTGTCTGTCTATAGGTGGACTTGGCACCAGGACACACTTGGCCACAGTTCGATGATTGACTTTGTAGTTGTATCTTCGGATTTGCAGCCGCATGTTTTGGACACCCGGGTGGAGCTGTCAACTGATTACCACCTGGTGGTGAGTTGGGTCCGATGATGGGGGAAGATGCCAGTCTGATCTGCCACATCCAAATGTATTGTCAGGGATTTTTGGGAGCGTCCAAACTGAATTTTGTTTAAAACGTTTCTTTACTTGTCACATCTACGCAGTGTGGAAAAGCAAAATTGTCCCCAAACTCACGCTTTCATTTCAATCCCGCAGAGAAAAACTACTCTGAGACCACCAAGAACTCCAAAAGCGTCTCGTTATCCTTCGACATCTCAGAGATTCGGGGCAACGTGGGTGACTATCGGCTGTTGACCTCCGCCGAGTTGCGGATACTCATCAAGCAGCCCACCATACCCACCGAGGAGCGCGTCGAGCTCTACCGCGGCACGGGCCCGACAGCCCGATACCTGGCGTCCCGCTTCATCACCAACCAGTGGAATAACAAGTGGCTCTCGTTTGATGTAACGGAGACCTTACAGGACTGGCTCCAAGGCAAAGGTGAGTCTGAGACATCACACCATCGGATCAAAGCCAAAACTTCAACTTGGTATTCACACTCAACTTGACTTAGATTTGAAACACTTGACTTGAAGTCTTTCCAGTTTACAGGTGAAAATCAGCATTTTATACATGTGCATGGCGCACATGTATAAAATGTGGTGTGTGTTTTGTCCACGGCAAAAACACTAACAGAGAACGCTGCTGTGAGAGCCTGGACTCTCCCATACTCATAGGGAGGCCTAACGATTGAAATGCAGATTTTGTTGTTGTCAAAGCTTTCAAGGGTGGCTGCATTTTTTGGCATTTTATGATCAGTGAGAATACATTATATTAGTATACACTTTGAGACAATAATTCATGCCTTTGTCACATCCCGGCTCGATTACTGCAATGCCCTTTACTTTGGAGTCAGCCAGTCCTCCATTAATCGCCTCCAGCTGGTCCAGAATGCCGCTGCTCGCCTCTTGACTGGTACTCATAAGAGGGAGCACATAACTCCTACTCTGGCATCCCTTCACTGGCTCCGCATACATTTTAGAGTGATTTTCAAGATCCTCTTATTTGTTTTCAAATCTCTAAATGACCTCGCGCCACCTTACCTCTCTGAGCTCATCCGCCCCTACACACCTGCCCGGCGCCTCAGGTCTGCGGACCACACATTATTAGAAGTACCAAGAACTAAACGGAGGCTCAGAGGGGATCGAGCCTTTTCTGTTGCTGGTCCCTCTCTCTGGAATGACCTCCGACTGAACATTCGGCAAGCCTCCTCGCTGCCCATCTT